TCAGCATGAAAGTCTCAGAAAGTCTCAGGGTGAAACGCTTCACGGAATTATGCCACGGGGTGCTGTTTTCTACATGCCTCTAGCTTACCCTACTGGTATGACGCCTGTTTTGAGCATCGCAAGATACCTCCGGCATGGTAAATCCGGCGGTATGGATTAATGGCACAGTCTTGCAAAGCCAATTCTTCAAGTTTTCTCGATCAGGATGGGGATGTTGAGACTTTCCGGCGCCGCAGAGAGTCCGAGATCAAGAATGGTCGAGTCGCCATGCAGCTTGGAACGGAAGTCATGCATACATTCATTCATGAGCTTTGCTTGTTTCGCTTGGGAGTTGTTTCGACAGGTTTGCCACGATGGGATATATAGTTCCAGAATACTTCAAGTTCCCGGGCTACTTGGCGCCATCTTCGAATCTGAAATTTGCGGATGTGCCCAATGGACTCGGCGCAATCACCAAGGCGGCGCGGGAGTGACAAATCACCTGAGCCCTAAAGCACGAAGCACTGCTGTCCAAAGCCTCAACCCTACTCGCTGCAAGCGTGCGGTAAAGCTGAACATAGCTGAACCCTCAAGCTCTTCGATTGACTCTTCAATTAGTAAGTGGCCAGTGCTGTAAGGTTCCACTAGCAGCTAGCATACGTGACACTTACCTGTCAAAAGCGTGCCGCCGCTACCATATTTTACCAGTCTTTTCTTTCGAAGTTCGGATGCGACGCCACGCTGACTGCGAGTCTGGAGGTGCCTGCCGAGGGCTGGCTGCAGTGGGTCGCCCTCTGCGGCTGCTATGAGCCAGCTTGCTGAAAGTTGCCATGCCGTGGCACACATTGGAAGCAAAAAATCTAGTAACAATCTAGTAAGCCTTTGATGGGTAGTGAATGGCGAGAGCCCAGGCTTTGCGTCAACCAGCCGGTGGACCCTGCAGACCCTGGCAACTACGGCAAGGGCAAGTCGCCTGGCTGCCCACCCTGTAGAAACACCAAAGATCACAAAAAGACCGCAAATTGCCTACCAGAGTGTGCTAAAGTGTGTCTTGCTTCACGAGCATTCGAGGCTGGGTTATGGTAACATGGTCCTTGGCATCACGGCTGAGCCTATGGCAGACGACGAGGCATGCTGTGACTGAATGGAACTTGGTTAACTTTCTCCGCAGATAGATGCCGCGGTCTCATAGTTCTTGAGCGGACTGTTCAAGCCGTATGGAGGAAGACACCGAGAGTTTGCACGTCGCCTGAATGTGGGTTCGCCGCGCAGGCACGCACACGTGGAAGGAACTCCGAGCTTGCCAATGGTCGGCTCGCGACTCTGCAAGCAACAGAAGAAGAGCCAAAACTAGTTTAACTTTTCCAGTCAATCCCCTTTGTTGTTTTACCAAGTCCTTCTGCGGCTTGTGCCTTGCATTGCGTCTGGGCTCTCGAGCAGTGTTGCGCAGCCGTGTGCCGAAGCTGAGGCGATGATGGCCATTGTCGGCCTTTGGGTCCAGAACGGGCTGTTCGGCACTCCATATGGACTGAAGCTCGGATTGAAACTTGGTCCTTGGATGTCCTTGGTTCCGCAGTGGTTCGACAGATGAAGGCATAGCAGCGCCCTGTCAAACGAATCTTTCTGCTATTTTCTGCTTCTGCCCTGGTCACACTGCGTGGAAGCTGGAGGTACACCGGCTCCAGCGCATTTGAGAACGAGCTCGGAGCGCCAAGACTTGTATCAGATTTTAGGTGGCCTCATGCCTGCAAAATCATCCAAAACAAGCCCGTCCTGACTCTCCAGGTGCAAGCTCCTGCTGGATTCTGGGACCCGCTCGGCTTTACCAAGGACCCGGCGTGGCATGCATCCCTGTTATCTTTGCAGCACAAGTTCAACTGTGGTCGGATGTTAGGGCACCTGGATTTGCGAGAAAACTTAGTG